GTTGGACTGGGTGATCTTTCGAGGTCCCTTCCAACTCCTGAGATTCTGTGATTCTGTGAAAGCCCTCATGCTGGCATTTTAATGTGGTTTGGGTGCAGTTCCTTCTGCCCTGTTTCGTTGTTTGGCCAAGTAAGTTTTTGACACACATATAGATGTCTACGTTCTTTGCAGTGCATAGAGTATATGCAGAGTATTTGCAGCTTGCTTGAAGCATCTTATATCAAAGCTAGTTAAGTAACAGCCTGCACTAAAGAAAATTTAAAGTACTACTGGGAAATGCCAAAATATATGTGGATTATACGTAGGTCAAGTAGAAAATCATGCGAAGATCAAGTGAGGATATGTGTCAAATTTCAGCTGGTTAAAGAAAATTAAGGATTTTTGGAGCACAAACTGTAAGGAAATACCTGAGGCACAGAGAGTAGCTTTACAGAGCAGCTTCAGGTTCCCTGTTGTTGATTATCCCTTTGAAAAATACGTGTTAACACACTGTCATTTATCTTATCAAAATATCAGCGGGGAGAGCTGCATCACCACCAGGGAGTTCTGCTGCTGCAGCAATCAGTCCCATTTGGACAGCTGTTTTACAGTCTTCACCGCTTTACTATTTTTATTCATAATCAGCTGTTGTCAACAAACCCGTTAACCGATGATGAGTGCTTGTGCAGCAGCAGCAGCAGCAGCAGCAGCAGCCGCCCTCCTCTGCTGTGCTGCTTTCCTGCGAGCCCAGGCAGGCAGAAATCTCTGCTGCAGCTGGCAGAGCCGGGGCATGATGAATGACTGCAGCGATGTGTCAGTGGGGACGGCAGAACTGAGTCACCGCGCTGAGCACGGGCACTGCAGTAAGGACTTGCGCTGTCTTCTCCTGTTGAGATCAAATTAAACCTTGCATAGATATGAGTTGTGGGATTTACCAAAAAGGCAGATTTCTAGCAGGCGTACTGCGCTGTCGGGGCTGCTGTCGCATACATGAGCGGCGGCTGGATATGGATGCTTCTGTTCCCATCGGCTTTTGGCACAGAAGCTATTCGATCTGCTAAATGTGTTGACGGTAGAGGCTATGCTGTGTATTAGGCATAAGGTTTGGATGCTGCTTAAAAGCTGCTTCAAAACCACAAGTCAGCTGAGAATTAATTGGGTTGCTAGGATTTAATCTTACAGTAGTACAGTGGAATTAAGGGAACCTTTCCCGCCAGGTTGTGTTTTTCATCTTGGAAGTAGAGAAAACTGGCACATAGGCTTTTGCCCCATAACATGTCTGCTTCATCCCTTGACAGCGGGAGCAGGGAGACTGTTCTGCAGCCTGCCGAAATAAATGCAACAAGCTTCACACCAAGCCCTAGGTAAAGGCATGAGTCATACCTGGCACTACCCCTGAGCTGTGGGAAGAATCTCATCTAGGCTGAATTAAAGCAAAATGAAATGGAAACGCTATCATCCCTCCCCTCCTGTTTCCCCACCAAGGCACATCCAGCCTGCAGCCCATGTTCCCGGGAACAATCTGTTCTCGCAGCTCCCAAACACAAGAGGAGCACCCATGGCTGGGCTGCTGCCAGGACTGATAGGGCGCCTGAAACGCGTGATCCCCATGGGAAAACAGCTCTCTGTGGGGTTACAAGGCAACCGGCTGCCTCCCTCATCTCTCCCACACACCTGATTGTTTTGCAGCATTCACATAGTGTATTTGTGTTTGAATGTCTCTGTGCATGGAGGCTTGCTGTTATCCCAGTTTACTTCTCATTCTCCCATGCGAGCTTTTACTAACATGATAAGGGAGACACAAGATGGTTGCTGTTGCTATTACAAGCCCATGCATCTTAAAAAGGGAAGGAGGTTTTTTGCCTTTTTTTTCCCTAATTGATCTCAGATTAAAATTCAGCCTTGAAAATTTGAGTCTGAAGGAACCACTGTAAGAACCAAAAGTGGAAAAAAATAGCTTTTAAAGCTTCATTCAAAGATGAGAATGTAGGAATTATTGAAGTCCTCCATCCATAGTAAAAAATTATCTAGAGGGGCTTTTTACACTCATCTCTGTTGCAGATTAGGCTTGCCTATTGAAGGGGTAAAATGCCTAAAATTTTCTGGAGGGAGCTTACAGTGAAATTATGTTTCTCGTTTACTAGAATCCCAGTGAAACTTTTAGGCATTTAAGCTTGTTTAGCATAATTTTCAGTACGGTTTCCTTCCATGTCTCCATCTTCAAAGATGCCATCCCTGGCTGTCCACCTCCTCTCAGTTCCCAAAGTTGTATGAATCTCCTGACTGAAGTGGCTTCAGCTCACTCTTTCTTAGCTCATTGATTTTTGAAGCTTGCCTCTCTACAGTCTTGCACTTAATAAACAAAAGGGGAAAGGAAGGACCAAGTTAAAGGTGTGTGGAGCTTTGGTGGTTGTTTTTTTTTCCTGAGAAAAGGGTTCCTTGAGGGGCCAAACTGGTAATCAGAGTTTCTGAATAAAGCGTGTGGTGAAGCATTCCTCAACACTGACGTGTTGCATGCGTGATGTTGCAGTCGTTTGACTAAAACATGTCTTAAACTTGTTTTAGTTCCAGTGTTTGAAATTCATATGAAGAGGCACTGAAAACAGTTTACAGCTCGGTCGCATCTCTGATTTATATCAGAAATGAAGGATAAGGTTACTCTTGGGCACCCCTATGTTTTATTCAGTAGACGCTGTCTTGCCTGTTGTTATGCTGAGGTTTGAGCGTAGAGGTAGGAATTATCGGTTGTGCTAGAACAGCTCAAACTCTTCCTCCTCGTCATTCAGTGACCTTCAGCGCCACAGGCTGCGGAGGTGCCCTGCACCACTGTCTTGGACTCAACCTAGGCTGTAAGTCTTGTGACACTGATGTCCTTGATCCTCCATTGGCTGTGTGAGAGCAGAAATAAGACACTTTAATTTTTCATACTCTGGTTTTCAGGTATATATTATTTCCTAGGCCTTAAGAGCACAGAACGAAATAATTAACTCTGTGCTTAATTAAAATCCCTAAAACATTTTACAATATCATATTATGTGACAGTTGTGGCTGAAGCTTTTGGGTTTCTTTTGCTTTCAGTTGTTTTAAGTGAAGGTTGAAGATAGAGGGCAGTAAGCAAGCTTCCCTCTTCTGCTTATGTTCCTCTTGGTGCAAGGCTGTCTAGTTATTCTGGGCTCCCAAATCGGAGCTCTAGGCTGTCTTCTGGCATAGATGTGAGGCTGTTTCTGATGCTAGGATGTGCTTTAAAAATGCCTCAGCTATGCCAGTAGTAACAGCTCTGTACGGATGGTTTGTTGCTTGACGAGCAGTTCCCAGAAGCTGTAGTGCTTTCTGACCTTATGTCTCTTCTGCGATGGTAGCAGCTTTTGTCTGGGGGATGGCTGAGGATTTAAGGCAATGCTTATACAGGTGTATCTAACCTGAATATCTGTCTCATTTCCAGCTACACAATTAAATGGGACACAACTGTCGCAGAATAAGAGTTCAGATGTTTCATCTACTACGGGATCATCTTTTTCTTCTACCACCTCTCTTCAAGAAATCACTTCTGCCTCTGGAACCTCAGGTAAGTCTTAAAAACACTCTATTTTCCTGTACAAACAGTTTAAAAGATGCAAATAATTTCAAATCTCTTCTTCATTTGTTGTGCATTGTCCTGGAATGAGGGCCACCTCCTTATTCATGTGGGGTTTGTCATGTCCATGTCATCCAGCTATGAAGTTATGATGAGTGATGGGTGAACTTCAAAGCATTCAGTTGTGGTAGTCAGTGTTGTTACAGGAGGATATAAATTACAGAAGATAATAGCAATCCTTATATATGCTGTGTGTGGTCATTGTGTAGCATTGACTGCCAGAGGAGGTCATTGAGATAAATTTTCTGGCTGCAAAAGCAAAGGAGAGGAAAGAGAAAACAGCTATAATTTTTACAATTGTTAATAAATGTGGAGGGCAAGTTAATATTACCAGTTAAATGACATTGTTCAAAGTACAACATGATCATGTACAAGGTTAAGAAGTTATTAATCCTTCCCAAGTCCAGTCTAGTTTTATTGTTTGTCTGGGTGTGTTTTGGTGTATTTATCCACTAAGCAACACTATGATAAATGTAGATGCCAGGTCATACTATGCTTCTACCTGGCTTAACTTTCCTAGATTTCGAAGAACCGCTTATTCAGGTTTTCTTAAGGTATCTTAAGCCTTCATTCCATACTTACTTTCAGCTACATGTGTGTAAATCCAATAAGGATACTGACCTTTTTTTGCACATTCCAATTATCATTAATGTTTAACATCCCCCAAGGGATACAAGACACTTCTTACAAGTCTGGGTTGTGTTTGTGAGAGATAAGCATGCATGTGTACGGTGATTTTTCCTCATAGAATGAGATTAGATATAAAAGTAGAGTAATATCATATGCTCAGTATATACTGAAATGCTTAGAAGCATGCAAAAAGATAATATTATTATTATTATTATATTTTTGGCATTTTAGAAAAGTTGGTATTTTAAAATTTTAATCCAAGGCCAGATTTAGAGAAGAATCTTTGTAATTATTTCAATGAGCCTATGCCCCATAATGCAAATATTGTGAGCCGCAGTTACTTGATTATCCTGTTATGTTTTGTGTCTTTTGGCAGTCACTTGTGTGGTACGGAAACCTTACCGTTGGTACACTGCAATAAAGCAGTAAATTGCAATGTTTTAATGAAAGGTTCTCTCACAGAGGTAAACTCTCCAGGTTAAAATGAAATTGAAATACATATCTGGCTGTGTATCACATGTATTGAATTACCTATTGCATTACTTGTACAGTTACAGTTCGTGTTTAAAATTTGCCCAGAAAGGTTTACAACATACCTTGGGTCTGTTTGTGAAAGTCATCATCTTTCTCAGCTCACTTTGCTGTAAAAACAATAAATCTTCTTTAGCCTGGGGACTACCCAAGATGCCAGGATGATAATTGCCTGGCTGAGAAAGAAAGGGCCCATCTATCTTGGGGCAGTCAGTCTGGGTTCTTGGCATAGCCAGGACTGTTCAGTTCCCATAAAACTGCCATTTCAACATCACCTCCTCCTGCACAAGGACTTCCACACTTGCACCTTTCCTGTCTCCTCACAGCACCAGCTCCTCGCTTCTTTTTTGCAGCTTAAATGTGCAAGAAATCCCATTACTCACCCTGATGAGTTCAGTACGTTATCCCAAATGGATGCACCTTTAGAGCACCCTTGCTCCCTTATTCTCTGTATACACTAAAGACTTCAGGAAAAAAATGTTTTGATTCCCTCTAAACAGATTTCTTCTCCTGTGTGCAATTACTCAGGGCCAAGGGAAGCCATATGCTGCACCCTAATGAAACCCAGTCGTCTCATTCCACACTAAGACTTGCAGAAATGCTGACTCTCACTGCCATTAGATGCTTTCTCCCCAGCTCTTTGAAATTTCCCGTTCAGAAACTTCTGCAGGGCCTGGATACCTTTAGTTCATCAGAGCTGAGGTTGGTATGTGCACTGGGGCTGGTACTGCAGCCCATAGGGAACAGCAGAGCTTACAAGTCAAAGGCACCCAAGCCACAGTTCCTGTGTGGGAGCTCAGGGGAAGACAAATTGATGTGAAATAGATCCAAAACAGAACGTTTCTATTTGGTATGCACAACAAATAATTCAGCTGGCTAGCCTCAGTGCAAAAGAATATATTTTGTTTTGAGACCATTTTCCATTAAAAAAAAGCCAGTTTGGTGAAAATTTCCTTTCTTGCTGCAGAAAAAGAAAAAGAAAAACACATTTTGAAGAGAAATTTCCAGTCAGCCACATCAAAAGATCAAGGTGTGGGAGGAGTGCCACAGAGCTGGAGAGGGACTGAAATGAGTGGGGGAGCCTAGGAAAGAACTTGTAGAAACATCAGAGAACAGGATTGCTGTATTAAATATTGAAACCACCAGCCACGGAGGCGGGGCTGTGTAATGCTCACCCAGGCTAGGGGAAGGATTAGGGATTGGTTTTTAGCAAAGAGAGCAACCTGCATGCATGCCATTGACACATACACTTCTTCACCTTTGGCTGTCATATATAAAATACCTCCTACTCATTCTCCACCTCCACAGAGGATTGCTTGCTAATATTTAATTTTATCCTTTTGTTTAACTAATGAAAAATTGGAGATTTAATGGACTAGTCAGAGCCTAATACATCTGAGAAACTGCGGGTATTGTGGCTTTTTTTTCTGTGACCTAAACAACAACCAAAAAAAATCCATAAAGCAGTATGAGCTTGAGTTCACCCAGCAGGGTGGTAAGATCAAATGATCTATTATAATAAACTGTCAGATGAATCAACCTGCTGCATCTATTGATATCTTTGTTGCACTCCTCCAATTTATAAATCCTACTTACCTGATTCACAGAAGGCATCTCCCCAAGAAAAATTATGAGTAAGGCAAGGAGGGCTTGACTCTTTCTGTACGCAAACTGTGTAGGAACTATGGATAGTGATATTAAGTAAAAATAACCCACCGTATCTTCAGCTTCTTCACAGAGAGACACAAAAATTGAAGTGCCTGGGAGATGGAAAATATAGCAAAACCTCAGTTAACACAGGTACAGATCTACAGCATGGTCAGGGCAAGGAGGGATTTTTTAAGTTCTTAATTTTTCTTTGATTTGTATTGTGGTATCCCCTCTGAGCAATCAGCCAAATGTATTCGTTTGTTTTGCCAGTGAACACAGTTTCATGTGGCTGCCCTTCAAAAACAGAAGCAGCAAACTGCAGGGTATCCAGGCTGCTTAGGTAGCAGTCGTTGAATAGCAGAGTGGGGAGAGGTCAGATATTGGTCTCTTTCTCCATCTGTCAAGCTTCTAACCAGCACTAAACTGACTCAGGCAGGTATTTGCAAACCAAACCACCATCGTGTGCCAAATTCTTTGTCCTTGTCCTCCTTACTGCACAACGAGGGCTCAGCACAGCCAGTGTTGTTATTTACACAGAGCATCTGCCCCCTAGCTCTCAGCCCCAAAGGATGTGGTAAGCTCTGACCAGGCAGCTAGAACAACTGTGGTAACTACGTTAGCAAGCAAAATGCTGTCTTTCCTCCTGTCCTTCTCTTTCTGTAGAACAGCAGCATGTGACTCCACCACCAAAAAGGGCACTGGATGGTTATTTAGGAGATGCAAACTGA